ATTTAAATACAAAACCAAAACAAACTCTTCCGGCAGCCAAATTGTGCTACAACTGCTTGACTGTTTTATTCATCATGGCCATAAAAACATCCTCAATTAGTCTCTGGCAAAGACTTTGGTGGCTATTTTACTGTGCGGCTTAATTTGCATTCCTATCTTAGCAAAGGGCAGTACTTCATATGCTACAAAACTTTCCACCCTATACAGCAATGCAGATACTGGCCGGTCCCATGACTGGACTGTAACAGCATATTCTGCTTGGACTACACCACACTTCAAGCATTCATGTAATTTTCCATCATATTTTCAAGTCTGGTACTGTCTAAAACCCTAAACCCTTCCCTGAGCACATTTTCATGCTCGCCTCAATGTATCAAGGTGATGCAATTGTCTGATCCCCTATTTTTTCTGCCCTGCTGGGATTTACTACCCTGAATATGCTCCAGCTTTTCACATATACCTGTTCAGATTGTCTCTGCAGATGAAGATCTCTCTATATATTTCTACATATTCCACACTAGCATTCACGAACCTCTCTTTTGTGGTACAAGATGAGCAAAAAGTTTATGTGTTAGTAACATCCTTCAGGGTTATCATTCATGTTGTCTTGAGGACGCACCTAGCACTGACAGAGCTAGGCCATTCTCTGATAGCAAGATGTCAATTCCATTATACTAGTTACTATTTATGGGCAAAACTTGCATTTGTTACCCCTCCAACCTCCACAACTAACCTGTAGCAGTCTTGGACTGTCACCTAGAAGCCTGGTTTTGGAGTTACCATGCTGGTGTGTCATGGTAAGTCAGTACAAAAACCATCTCAGATTGTTAACCTATTTTGTGCTGGGTTTTTGTTTATGAATATAGTTCTACTGCACAGACCTATTGCAGCACCAGCATGTGCAATGGAGATGTGCGCTTGTAAGCATCACTGGAACTTTCTGAGCCATTTCACTCTCTTTCTGCTTTCCACAAGGAACAGAAGAAATCAGAAAGCTCTTCCTGTGCTGTCAGATCCATGGTCAGCTAGTGGCTGGCCCAGGGAAAGCCTGGACACACATACAGAGCATTCAGGTTAGACAGGCTGAGAACAGCGCTGCAGGAGAGCTGGGAAGGTCGGACATCCTCTCATTATGAGAGTGCATCCAGGCATAGAGGCACACCAGGACACAACCAGGGAACACAGCAAGGAAAAGACATGAACAAGCTGCAGCACCAGCATCCATGTGGACTAAGCAGTTACAGAAGAGATGGTGATAAATGAAGGTGATTAAGGTCTCCAGTGAATTTGCTAGCAGGCAGTCATCACAGTTACACAGGCACCAACATCCAAGCATGTACGAGGACACACAAGAAGACTGACTTGCAGGGATAACCCATCTCTAGTTTTGTCTCAGGGTTAAAAGTCTCAGTGATGCCTACAACTGGTTTTCATTACTTTGTGAAAGAATGCTATTCATTTGAAGCTAATCACTGCAGGCATTAACAGAACATGACAAAGAGCAGACCTGAACTCGAGTGGTATGCACAAAATGGAGTGAAATACTTTTGAAGTTACTCAGAAAAGTTATGCTGTCGTTCACCATGAATCCGTTCTGTTTCATTCACTGCACATTTTCAGGACACTTACAGAATCATTTTGACTCAGGGAAAAAAAAGGCAGCAAAATCCTAACCCCTTTTCTCTGATGTCCACCAAAAGTTCTGCTCTGGATAAGCTAAATTATCCTTCAACTCATTACTAACTTTACAGAACTATACACTCTAACCTAAAGAAACATCTTCTCATTATGCTTATGGCACTGAAAGCGCAGATTGGCAGAGTTTTTTGGCAGTGTTTATTATTGAAGCCATCACATAAAACCATCAAGCTGCACTGAAACTGCCCACATGTAATTTTCAAACCTCATCCCAGGGACTAAACCAGAAGCAGTCATTCCTCAGATAAATTCACTCTCATGCAATGTGACCAAGTATGGAGAAAGGAAGAGGTTAAAGATGAGGAGCTGGAGAAAACACTCTTCCTTATTCAAGGCCCTTACCATCTAATTTCCTTCCTTCCTAGGGCAGCCCCAATCAGGTTTATGCCCAACAATTACCAGACAGTAACACACAGAACTAACTCCTCACTGAAACACTGATGATCAGAAGATACCCGAGGGACGCGCAGCATGAGACCCAAGAGAAAGAGCTGCAGATGCTGATAAGCAAGACAGATGACACAAACTCTAATCTTCATTTCCTACTTGCTTCTAAATCTTGCAACCCCCCAGTGAGGATGGGTGCAGTGAAAATCAACTTCTTTTAAGCCCGATGTTTTAAAATACCCAATCCCTTTACATTAAATATTTTGTGATATCCAAAGCATACACACAATCCATTCTAGCAGAACAGTTAAAGAACAGGCTGCATCAGCATTTTAACATTTGGGACATGAGCATTACCTCATCCTGTATTCCTCTTGAAGGCATTTCTCCTGGTGTTCCTGAAGAAAACAGTCTGGAGAAAGCAGTGAGTGGTTTGCAAATGAAGCCCAGAAACCACAGCCCGTGCTTTCAGGCTTTAACTCCCACGTGGCAGGTGGGTTAAATATCTCATCTTCTCTAGTCCTTTCTTGTTTTGCAAGCCTATTAAGGTTTCCAAAGCTGTTTTCCTACTTCACACAGGAAAAGATTATTCAGGGGCACTGCCCCACTTCCAAGCAGGCCAATGCAGTTTATACCAGTTCCAAAGGTAGAGTTTTCCAGAAATAAAAGAACGTAGGAAGGGATTTAGTGTTGGCTATACAAATGCATTATTCCTGATCTGAATGCAAAGCCTCTCTTGCCACCGAATCAAGCTAATGCAAATTGGTTGGGCATAGGGCATAGCAGAATCTCAGCACTGAAAACTGCTGCAGCTCTGTGGAACATTGCCCCCTTCACACTGCTGCAGAACAAGTGTCCATCAGCTTGGGGTGGTTTAACAGTGAGTAAGAGCACCTACTCCAGCTCCTTTAAGTGCTGCTACCATGCTTTGCTCTTCTTCCTAGTTTTAGGGAATAAACCCAAGTTTTCAGGAGGGGCTTTGCGTGTTTTGGGGAGCAGTCCCAGAAAGCTTAAGAAAGTGACAGGAAAGTCACTAAAAATAGATTTTAAGTGTGATAGATACACACAACAGCACTTACAACGCCTGGGCAGGGCTTCAGAAGTAAATAGGGAGCACAGATGGTTTATAAAGCATAACAACATGCATATGTGAAACATGAACAGTTCAGAGGCACCTGCATTTGATTTGCAATCGTTCTTCCACTTCCAAACAGAAACTCTCCCCAGCTGGGATGCCTTTAAGAGCTTATCAATATATATGGAAATAGCCAGACCATGCTCTGGACCCGTTTTTCTACCTGAATAAATGAGCTTTACCTTTATCTGTTGTGAGTTTTGAGCAGATTCGCAGAGGCTCAAACTGGCACAGAATCATGGAATGGTTTGGGTTGAAGGGACCTTAAAGCTCCTCCAGCTCCAACCCCTGCCACGGGCAGGGACCCCTTCCACTGGAGCAGCTTGCTCCAAGCCCCTGTGTCCAACCTGACCTTGAACACTGCCAGGGATGGGGCAGCCACAGCTTCTCTGGGCACCCTGTGCCAGCGCCTCAGCACCCTCCCAGGGAAGAGCTTCTGCCTAAGAGCTCATCTCAGTCTCCCCTGTTTCAGTTTGAGCCCATCACCCCTTGTCCTGTCACTACAGTCCCTAAGTCCCTCTTATAGAGCCACAGAATCATGAGCATCTGAGAAATGATGCTGTGAAGCGACGCTCTGAGGCAGTGTGCTCAGAGCCCTGCACTGATCACAGGGCAGCCTGAGTGCTGACTGTTACTTGGCTTTCAAGACCCTCCTTTGGTCACCACGACTTCACCCCCATCATCTTACGATTTACAAGTAACACAGTGAAGCTGGGTTGCTGATGAGGTTCTAAGATTCATTTTCTCACAGTTCAAAAGCTAAGGTTGGATTCCACCTGAGTGGGGAGAGAAACAGAGGAGCAACAGTACAGGAAATGGTGCTGCTCCCCTCTCAGCTCCCCGTGCCGTGTCATTCCCAGGCTGGAGAAAACGGAGATGGAGGAGAAACAAGCCTCGGAGGTGGAGCATCAGGAGGGGCTGGGGCAGGGCAATGGCCCTAGGGAGGTGGTTAGAGCCGTTAAGGGTGGGTGGCTGTGGGGTACACCCAGCCCAACCGCTGGTCCAGGGCAGGGGCAAGGAGCAGGGCAGGACAAAGGTGCCCATCTTGGGGGTGAGCAGCACCAGGGCTGCTGTGTGATGGTGTGCTTGTGGTGGAGGGTGCATGAGTACCCGAGCACCCTGGAGATGGGGAGCCTGAGCTGCAGTGTGGCTGCGTTCTCTTAGCATCATAGAATGGCTGGGGCTGGAAGGGAGCTTCAAGATCATTATCCATGCTCCTGTGTGTGTTTGTGCGTGCACAAAGGGGTGTGCACGTGCATTCATGCACCCCCAGGCGTGCTCATGGTGAGGCTGTCCCTGTATAACGGAGGTTCATGTTTGGGTGCCTGCAGAAGGATGTGAGTCTCTGCATGTCCTTGTGGACACATGCAGGTGTGCACTTGTGTGTGAGCTGAAGCGTGCAGGATGTTTTCCATCCATTCCATATTTCATCCGGTTTCACAGACCTCCAGGGTGGGGAACGGATGGTCCATTGCTACAGCACCTGTCATCCCATCCAAGGGCCCTGGGGCCTTTCTGAGACTGCTGAGGCCAACAGGATTTTCAAGGACCCCAATGGGTTAAGGAACTCAATTTTGTTGTGTTTCCTGTGCTACGTGGGCTTTGAGAGCTGTATTTAGCCTCATAGACCACCAAGGTGGGGTATAAACTGCCATTGCTGTAGAGGCTTCTGCTGAGCTCATTTGTAAGGGAATCAGAAGGCAGTGCTGTGTTGAAAACTGTAAAACCAAGTTCTTTTAAAAACCTGTTAAATGTGCTTTGTATTTTGATACGTTTCCTATAACCACAGGGAAATGGCAGGCAAGAAGAAAGAAATCCAGCTCCAGGTACAGATTCTATTTACTTGAACAATTCTAGAGATTAATAGACATTTTCTCTCTCTCTTTTAAGGATGTTAAAATGTCAATTCTTTTTATTTCAGATGCAAATAACCAATGAGAACCAGTGGGGTGAAATGTTGCTGATGAAAGGTGTAGTAGGTACTGTCACTGTTTCCTGTTTAATCTCTCCTGAAGACATGTATAGGTTTTCATACTTACATACCCTATCATCTTTAATAGATAGTGGTCATAAATGTAGATTACCACCATATTATCTTTTCAAGAAAGGTTATACTAATATAAAGTATAAAATGTGTTTATTCACATACAGTCTTCTATTATGAATAAATACTTGTCAGAAGTCATAACCATTATTTTATCTGCTGTTACATGCTGATAATCAGAAAATACCTTTCTAATGTGGTGTTCTGTATGGTAGGGAGTTATATTTAGGTAGAGAGAACAAATCTGTAATGGGATCATAGCTACACAAGAGCAGCAATGGGAAAAACATGATCTGCATGGGCTCAGGGATGTAAAAATCGTGTAGAATAAATAAGATCGAAATCCAACAGTGGGGAAAGAAAAAGAGCAATTAAAAGGAAAAGGAATATGAGAGAAATGGGGTGGTCTGAATTAAGCATCTCAAACGGTATTATGAAGTAGGTTGTTGGTGCCAAACATAATTGAAATGAAAGAGGAAACCATGATGTAGTCACTGAACACATTGATGTATCTGCGGTGCATACATTGACTGAGAGGACTAAGAGCTGCATGTGAACGCTTCCCTGCATGCGTGTGCTTCAACACACTCGCAAATATGTTCCATTTGATAAGGTCCACAAGGCGGCTGTTTTGTAACCCCAAACTATTCCATTTCAGTAATAGATGTGTATCAAGCCTGGTGTGGTCCTTGCAAAGCTGTGCTGAGCCTATTCAGGAAGCTGAAGAGCGAGTTCAGTGAAGACGATGTGCTGCATTTTGCCGTGGTAAGGATGGCAATTCCATGGGGAACTTCTTCACCTTTTGTTTTAAATAGTTCTTTTGACCTGTCTGCACAAACAGAGCTTTCATTTTACTGTTCTTATACCAAGGTATCACAAGTTTTGGCCTGGTTGCATCTTCTTCTGCATAGCTCCTCACAAGACTTTGTTTAGGGATAGACTGGGAATGGCAATCAATGTGGAAGGAGCTATAATAGAAAGGGAGCTGATACCCCACAATATATTTCTTCATAAGATTGCAGAAACATTCAAAAGCCAGATTTTATGAATCTATGCAGGTTTATATATATATACTTTTTTATATATATATATGGAACTACACGATCTTAAGGTCCTTTCCAACCCTAACTATTCTATGATTCTCTCTATATATGCATATGTATGCACATGTAAGTAAATCATCTTTTCCATCTGACTTCAGGCAGAGGCTGACAGCATTCTGGCTCTGCAGTCATTCAGGAACAAATGTGAACCTGTGTTTCTGTTTTGTGTTGTAAGTACATCTCATCAGCCTCTCTCCATGTGCTGCCCAATTTTGCCTTAATTTTTCAGTAGATTAAAAAGAAAAGGGAAGCTATAGAACGCATACCTTTACATCTTACAGCGCATAACCCAGTATGTATGCCAGCGGATGTTGTTGACTTGAGGCAGGTTTTCATGCCTGATCTGTGGCTCTCGAGCACATGGCAGCCACAGGAGATTTTGGGTAGCCACAGCTGGGGTAGTCACTTAGTAAGAAAACTCTGTAAGTTTTCCAGGGTTGTCTCACATAAATTGGCTACACTGAAATGGGTATTTATACACGCTTTAACCCAGGGAAAAAGAGGTTCCTTTTCCTGACACTTTAAGAGATTTCAGATAAACAGCTAAAACTGCATTTTTCACACACAGGCAATTGGAACAATCACATGTTTTTTATCTCTTAGCAATGGATGTAAAAAGCCTCTTCTCTTAGAATGCCACTGTAGAACACTGCTCCCTTAGGAGGCAATGGTTTCAATGGTTTTTTGACTTGAGGGTGCTAAGTTTTAAATCTAGGATCTGAGAGCAATGATACTCTCAGGACACTTCCAGATTTGAATCTGAACGCTTCCAAACAAAGCTAGCAGCATCTTTGATTACCAGTAGTTCACTTCACTACCTCTGAATGTAGCAGAGCACTCCCTGACACATAATGCGAATAAAAGATAGAAAACTCCATGTTATGGGAATTAAGAGCTAGTAGATCCTATATTTTGCATTTACATCTGACTATATTATAAATGGTGAGCCTAGAAATAAACATGACAAATTAGGCAGAGAAGGGAGGGAGGAAGCAGAAGCAAGAAAGGTTCTTTCTGAACTAATAGAGGCAGTAGTAGCTTTAGTATTCACTTCCGTGGGCATAGAAGGTGGTCCTGCTGCTGGAAAATACAGTGAGATAAAGCATGTTTCAAAATTCAAGTAAATATGTAATGAGAGCAATGAAAACTCATTGAGAACGTTCTTTTCTCTTTTACAGAATGGCAAAATTATCTCAATAGTGAAAGGTGTCAATGCTCCTCTTCTAAGTAAGAAAATAACAGAGCTAGTGCTAGAAGAGAGAGCAATTGCATCTGGACAGAAAGAGCACACCACGGTACTCACAAACCAGATACTTAAATGAGGTTTTATTACGCTTGCATGTTTTCTCTTAATCCCTGTGATAGGGGGTTTGGTCATGTTTAATTGTTTGTATTTATTTCAACAGTAAAGTGATAGATGCGAGGGTGGTTTGGGTTCTTTTAGAGATTCCCATTAAATACCACTTTGTAAAAGCTTCAGAAGTTTACAGATTAGCCTATTAATGTAAGAAATGAAGAGATGGACAAGGTCATTGGCACATGAAGGGTTTTAGTAATCTTTTATTCTCCCAGGACTATTTTCCTTATTTAACTTAGTGCATCAGATGAAACAAAGACAGGGGGAGCAGTTATGGCTCATTGCTTGATTTTAAGTAGAAATGGAGATGAAAGAACTTCACTTACAGTAAAGGAAACTTTTAACACTGTAGCTCAGTTAAGGAAAATCAGGTTGCCCAAAGATCTTTCTTAGACTTACTCACTTTCCAAGGTAGCAAATATGTTCTAACATTAAGGTAAAATTGTTGTAAAGACCTGACAGCTGTGCTTGGTGGCTTCAGCTTCACACTGGTGACGTGCTTTTACTCCACTGGCAACTGCCGTAGGTAGAAGAACTTGTTTTGCATGAAGAGAAACCACCAGAAGAGCCTGTTGAGGAGACCGCATCTCAGGGTAAATCTATTTGATTTCTCTTAGAAATGTTAGCAGGAAGAAAAAGAACCAATATCTCTTCAGTTATTTGATTAAGAATTGGGTATGTCAAGCACTAGGAGGCTCCTTTGATTGAGTTAGTAATATGAGAGGCTGTGGTTGCGAATATCAAAGTGACAGGAAGCTTTCTCCTGTAAGGAATTAAGATATCGGGCTGCCATCATCAGTATTTTCACCCCTGCTTTGTGAGCTTTCAGCACTTCAGAATAGCAGCAGTGCTGTGTACCAGGCAATATTCCTGTGTAAAACCAGTGCCTCAAAGTCACTTCTACACAGCCCCTGTGTTATCTTTGCACTTTTGTTCAGGTAGGGTTTGTTAACCCTTGGGCGTTCGACAGGAATAACAAGACAGGGACAACCTGAGAGGATTGGGAGAGTTCATCTGTGAAGGAATGGCACGCTTGTATCTTGGATTATTTTTGAGTCTTTCACCACATTAAGGAGCTAAAGGACAGGTTTACATTACATGAACCCATGACAGTAGAATAGGAGCCCAAAAAGATTGAAAATAAGCACCATCCTGTTTGTGGGTCTCATACCTACCATTTAGGTCAGGCTTCTCGTGAGCTGGGACCTACATCTTTTCTATTCTTATTGTTATCTGTGGCTACTGAATGTTTGTACTGCTCCATACGCACAGAATGCCACTCATCAGCACTGAGATGGAATAAACTCCTCCATCATCCTCTTCTTTCTGATCTCACCTTTTTTCCCCCCCGTGAGAAGGCATTAGATCATAGTCATGGATTAAGTTGTGCCCCTTCTCCTTCCTCTTCCTGCCTTTATTGTTTGGTTCAAGTGACACATTCCTGACCTCAGCTTTAGCCTGTATTTTTTTCCCATACACCTTCCAGGACTAGTAGTACAGTATTACAAGTCATATAGCAGTTATATCCAGACTTCACACTACCCCACAGCACCTAAATGTGTGACCAAATCAGGGAACAGACATAAGTTTGGGTTCAGCTTCAGGGTAAGGGATCCCTCAGAAGCCATAATACACTAATATTTCATGGTAATATTCTACTTACCACGTGCAGGTGCCTATGAGAGTTCCCTAGTGTTGGAAATGAGTAGTAGTCTGGTGTTGCTGTTAGAGCTACCAGAAAGTTCTCCTACAGGCATTGAATTACATTCTAATGCTTCATTGTAAATCTCTGATCCTGCAAAGGCAATGTAATTTGTACTCTTTTCTGACCATTTTCTCTCACTTTGTTGGGATCTGTGTGCTATGGAGGTTGTAACACCATGTCTATACCTCTTGTTTTAAACATTACATGGTGTTAGCAAGCATGTGTTACTTCAACAGTTATTTATTGCAAATTAGTTTGGCATCCACAGTGCTAAGAAAAAACAAACATCTACTATGACAAGAAATGCATATTTTACTGGAAATCTCTAGTATTCATACAGGTTTTCACTTAGTTAATTTTCCTTAGTAACACTCATTCCTTTCACATTTCTAGTCCTGTACATATAGAGCTCCCTAGACAAAGCACCCATCTTAAGCTTTCCCATCCCACATGGCCACATGTGAACCATTTCTCCACCATATTACCCAGAACACCAGCGCTTTGTCAGGAATGTGGATTCCAGGGATAGCCAAGGACAGTCCTGCTCTCTAAGGCTTGCTCTAAGTGCTGGAGTCACTTTTTGGAAGCACTGTTTGGCCACCTCAATATTAAAACAGAAAACTATTCAGAGAAATCCACTTGCAAGCCATGGTAAATGTAGTTCTGCATTTACCTTGACAAATGGACCCATTGACACATGACTGTTTCCCTTTTCCAGAAAAAGCAGTCAAATATTCTCTTGGTATTATAAAACCTGATGATGTCTCAGAGGGACGTGTAGAAGAAATTAAAAGCCAGGTAAAGATAACTTGGTAAGATTCATTCATGCTGCTTAGTTAAGAGCCATAGTAGCAAGATACAAGATGAAGTAGATCCTAATTTATGCCTAGGCTTTAGAACAAGATCTTTTAACACTTCTCTGTTAAGGATGATATCAGCATGATAATTCTGACCTGAAATAATACGGTGTTCAGACTGATACTACTGCTTTAATACTTTATGTCAGTAGACAAGGTATGATGCATATTGTGCTAATCATCAACACACGAAATCTACACACAGAAAAGTGTCTTTTTCCCCCCTCACGCTGCAGCAGAAATGAGAACTAGAGGCTGGGGTGGCAAAGTTAATTCTTCACACAGGCACACATAAGACAGCTAACCAGTTCTTTATGGAAAAGACTTTGTGTGCAGACACATATGGCAATACATAAAAGCATGCAGATGGTGAGGCTAGTTTATGTGCACTAGTAAGTGTACACTAATATTTGTCACTAGTGCAGCATTTACTCCTGAAGTGAAGGATGTGAATCCAGCAAGTATGCAAGGGCGCATCCAATGGTTCAGTATTTGTTGAAGCCATCACACAGTGAAAGAAAGAATGTTTTGCCTTCCACAATACAATGCTATAGTAATGCTCATTTCAGTTACAGGAATTTCTTAGTCTTTCTGTTACCAAAAAAATGCCTCCTAAGGCTTTATATCAAGACAAATACGAGTGACTTTTGCAGGAACGATGATCAGTGCTGTATAGCTTGTTTCTGCAATGACTCTGCCTTGGCCAGAAAGGAATGAAGCTCAGGAAAAGGCAAAAAGAAAAGCAGGCAGTGCTTGAAAGCAATGTAGCTGGAGCTGAGCAGCTGCCAGTTGGCTCTGCCTTTGCCCTGCCTAATGAGGGGTGCACTCACAATTTTTCCACACTCAGCAGCACCATAAGGGCTTTTAAAGAGCAGCATGTTGGTAAGCAGATTAATATGGGCATGTGGTCAGTACTGGGGTTGGGTAGCGCCTTTGTTGTTTAAATATCAGTGTATGGGAAACCTCACACAAGTGGACTATGAATTTTCACATAGGACACACAGGTCTGCATCTCCTCCACATACTTGAATTCAGTGCAGTGGTGTAGCTTAAAATAGATAAAAATATAATCTATTTTATGCTTATCTCCTTTTCCTGAAGCCAAGTACTTTAGCCTAATACAGCTGTTGATAAGTACACATTTATATGACCACTATGATTAGTATAGAGGTTACAATAACAGATTTTGGAAGTGGTGGCATGTTAATCACAACAGTTAAAATGAGTTCATTTAATGTTAAATAAAAGGGATTATTAACATATGAATGACTGTATAAATTGAACTGCACTACATGGTTCACAACCATTAACTTAGGGGCCATTGTAATCGTGAAATTAGCGAAGTGCTTTAAAAAGCTGGAACTTCAGCTTAGGCAAAGGTAGCAATTATTTGGAACATGTCAGAGAATTTTAAACTGAAGGTAGCTTCCAAAATCAATCAATCTTTAGCATTACAATAACATAAGATTTTGTATATATTCGTTTTCAAATGCCACTGAGTAATAACTAAATAATTGCAGATTACAAACGCAGGATTTAGCATCGAAGCAGAAGAGGAGAAAATGCTAACTGAAGAGCAAATCAGAGTGTTCTATGCCTGTAGAGCGAAAGAGGTAAAAACAAGCTAAAAACCTAAACAAAAGGAACGGGTAAAACATATCATTTTAGCTATATGTGTTTGCAAATCTCTGTCTTATACAGTTTTGGTATGTTGAAGAACTGAATTAATGCAGATTTAGTGCATAGAAAAAAAGGAGACATTCTCTCTCTCCTACCGACTCATACAGATATGGCTTGATAGCATTCTAACATTCCAACTCAATTAAATTGAACTCCAATTAAATACCAAGAGATTTTCCAGATCTGTCCGTTATCAGAATGTGTCGGACCCTTAGCCATGGCCCTAAGCATAGGCTGTCAGGTATGAAATGCAGCACAAACCCAAAGTCCAGCATCATCTTTATGACAGGGGGTATCTGTCTGACACGTACTCTTCCAGCCATAAAATGGTATATTTGACTTTTTTTCTTCTTTATAGTGTTTATCACAGGGTAGGACTGGAACTAAGCAAGTGAACAGGCAGGAAGAGAAAGCATCTCCAGTCAAGTTCATTTTTCCGGCCCTATCCTACATTAGGACAGTGACACAAGGTGGTTCCTGCTGAAACTAGAGGGGAAAAAGAAATCCGACAGTAATCACCAGATTCCTGCACTGTGGTTTAGAAAGGAAGTAACAGGGAGGGCTTGTGAGGAATCGTGAGCAGCTTTGTTTTAGTAAAGCTAGGACTCTAGACAGACACAGTTGTGAAACAGAGGTAAAAATGTCATCTTCTTGGGAACAGCAGCCAAATTTGACATTAGTTAGGTGTAAAGGGAGGTGTGGGAGGAACCAAGACAGAGAAAAAGCATGCAGTGCTCGATATATGACAGCACTGTTCCACCACAGCAGATCCTAGACAACATCAGGACAGGGATAATAAAACTACTATGAACTACCAGAAGCAGTCCAGAGCTCCCTATGCACACTGAGAAGCCAATTATTTGCCATTCTTTCAGTGCAATTTTAAGCTGAAAAATAATCATGTTAAAGTGACAATAGGAACAGGATGCCCAGAGAAGTGCCAAATGCTCCATCCCTGGCAGTGTGCAAGGCCAGGTTGGACAAAGGCTTGGGTGATATGGTTTAATGTGAGGCATCCCTGCCCATGGCATAGGGTTGGAACAGGATGATTTTAAGGTCCTTTCCAACCCAAACCATTCTATGGTTCTATAGAATAGAGATTCCTTTGTGCTCAGTGGGCAAAATCATCCCTGATTTAGTACCCTGCAAGCTTGCTGAAGGTCCAGAGGCTGCCTGTTGTAGCAGAATGGAGACTGAAGGCAAAAGACCTTCAGATATAATTGGAAGCAGAAATTGTGTCTTTTCAGTGATAAAGCTGGGTGATCCAGGTCAGCCAAATCTAACAGCCACATCTATTTCTCCTAATACGAGAAAGTGTACTCTTGAAGCCACAAAAGTACAGACACTCCTTTGATGCATTTCACTAAATGGTTTTGTACTTGTATACATTGTACCTCTTGTGAGTTTGGTCATCTTGAGACACGGGTTAAATGTGTGCATAGGTACAAAGGTTGAAAGAGAAAAGAAATAAATTGCAAGCATGCATCTGAGTATTTAATCCTCGTATTATGACGAGAAAAACTTACCATACACAATGAGATGAGGCTGACTAGTAAAGAAAAGATCTATTCAAATATTAAAAAGCAGAGAAGATACTTGAGGAAGTTTTAAATATTGAAGGATAGGGTGACATGCAAGGCAAGAAAGATTAAAAACTCACAACAGCTACAAAAATCACTTTCTGATGAAAATGTACATTTATAGCACTGAAGGTTGAAACTGAAGGAATGAAACTAGCAAAGAGAATGAAGGAAAAGCCTACAAATGTCCTGCAAACATCTCGATGTTCTCTATTTGCACCCAGCTACGTGGGCTTTAGTTGCAATAATTATGCATAGAACTGTATTGCAGTTTGTTATGGCACACTGCATGAGCTACTGTGAGCAGACCGTTGGATCACATTGAGTTTCTAACTAATTTTCTTCATTCTTGTCATTTACATATTAAGCCAGTAGAACATGTGCTACTTTCTTAATGTAGTTCTATGACTTCCTTTATCTCAATTAAGTTTGGTTTAGGCATTTTATAATGTTGGCTCAAATGACTGATCAAAACCGTCCCAATTTAACAGGGGTTTGAGTAATGTATGCGAGTGTCATTTTAGAACAGGAATTAGGAGTTAATTTTGAAAGGATGGCTGTTCATTTCTCATGATAAACTCAAAGTTCCTGCAATTCATAGAGAAAAAAAATTATGTTTTTTAGCCCGATTTTGAAGATTTCCTTCAATTCATGCTAAGTGGACCATGCCACATTTTGATCGTCTCTAAAAAAAACCCAACTGATGCTATTCCTCACTGGAAAGAGCTAGATGAGATGAGTAAGAGCGTTGATGAGGCTGAGAAGCCAGACAGGTAACTACCAGTAGAAATGTGTAGATGCGATTCAGTTACAGTACCCAGAGTACACCATAAACCAAGACACATTCTTGCAGATGCTCAAGGGAGAGTAGGGGATGCCTGAAGCATGCTGTGTCCCTTGGGACCACTCTGTAAAAGCAGGCAAACAAGGAGGGGAGGTGTTTGGGTTCTGTTCCCTCACCTTCAAGATGCATAAGAACATTGTATGGATTAACTGTTCACAAACACGGTACCTTGAAATGTCCATTTTTCTCCTATGCCAAGTGTGCGTTGAGAGTTGTAAAGAGGATGATAGTGGCACACATGGCAGCCAACAAGAGTGCTCAGAAATTCAAATAGCAGATCAAGCTTTATATTTAGACAAGAGATTTGCTTAAAGCAGCATGGACTTAAATCCTGTGTTCAAATGAAAAACTTGTCACCATTATTGGTATTCCTGTTGGTGCCTGCTGTCTCCCTTCCTGCACAGAATCCCACAGCGGGGGATATTGCATTTTCTGTAGCTGGTGAAGAGTGACTGTATTTACATAGCTAAATGCAGGCAAGTAACAATAAGAAGTATCTCTGTTAAAGACAAATCTGTAGTGCTATCGGTTTCATGATCATGCTGCGTATGAATTAAGAACAATCCTTTTACTGATCACTCATCATCACTGTACACTTGCCAGTTGTAATTCTGTCTAGTGAAGCAGAAAGACTATTTTGAATAATCTAGAAGGAAGCTGGAAAACCTGCATGGCTGAGATTTCTCTCTCATAGCAAAGGCAATTTTGAGAAGATGAATAATTCTCCTCTCAGAAGCATTACTTCAGTCATGAATCTGATTTTAATGGAAACTTAGTTTGGGATTCTATTATTCTGGTTTGCTAAACTTGAAGAAAGTACATCTTCACAAAGTCAACTATTAACACAATGTATGCAGTGACTTAAATACTGTTACTTTGCGTGTCATTAGGGGGGAAGAAACTGTGGAAACTGGGGCTCTATTAAATGTATGTGATATGGAAGATAGCATAGAAAATGCCAGCAGACAACTTGCCTTCTTCTTCCCAAATTTTGATACCCACAAGACAGAGCAAAGAACAGAAAAAACTTTGGCCTTAATCAGACCATGTCTCCTAAAGGAAAGACGAGGTAAGAGTTGATCACTGCATTCTCTATCTAGGATATATAAAAGCCCTCACATTTTGAAGTTGAAATATCCCAACTCTATTAATGACATGTTCTTAGGTTGTATTGTCTCTACAGTGATCTTTGTCAGGAACAAAGTGACATGGTTAATGTTTTTGCTGTATTGAGAACGTACACATCAATGCTGTTTTGTTCCCTGGGTTGATTGTTCAAGAACATCTTTAGATTGTATATTTGGATGGAATGTCTCTAGAAGAGAAGCTAGCGTTTGCAAGCTATAATATAGGGGATCATAATTCCCACCATAACAAAGGAGCTGATATTATTCCTGAATGCCAGGTCCAAGGTAGATCAACAGGAAGCTAAAAGATCTGATCTGTGTTCTGTGCTGCATAACTGGTGTGTGCAATGCTGCACAAGGGCAGGTCTATACAGACAATATTAAATCAGGAAATCTACTCCATTAGCACAAAACTCCATCCAACCAAGTTTACTTTTCTTCTCAGGCATGTATTTGCATTTCTTCCTAGATTCTAGATAGCATTTCTATTCTTAACTTGAGAATCTCTCTACTTGAAATAACCTATACACAGAAGCTGTGCAAATTAATGAATGAATGGCAACTTTGCATCATTTCAATATACTAAACAGAGTCAATCCTGCAAAGAATAAAGGATGATGGCTTCAAAATAGCAATGCAGAAAGAAATCACCCTAACTGAAGAACAAATACATGAATTTTACAAAGAGCATGTAGATCAAGACTACTTCCCAGTCCTTCTAGAGCAAATGACCAGGTACTTCGAATGAAAAATGAGAATGTGGATCTATAAATAAGAGTGACATTTTCACAATGAATAATTAGCCTCAATAATACACAATACATAAGACACCAATGTATCTGAGAGTTTAGTAAAATGCAAAACAGGATCAGACAATAGCAGATAATGAGATAATTCCCAAATATAGTGCACATATATGTTTGAGGGGAGATATTTGTAGAAATTGGTTTAATTGTTCAAAGCCTGGGCCAAAGTTTAATTTATATATATATTTTACTAAGGGTGATCTTGTACTCTCATCCCTGCCTGTGGCAGGGGGTTGGAATTAGATGGTCTTTAAGGTCCCTTCCAATCCAAATCATTCTATGGTTCTACATGCACGAGGGTGTAAAAAACTACAAGCTACTCCACATACCTGTATGTAGGAAGTTGAAGGCAGCAGCCAATTCCATTGATGTGGGTGAAATCAGCTGAGCTCTGCCCTGCAAGAAGTCTTTATCCAGGCTGTGTGCTGGACTGGGGAGGAAAAATACACTATGTTTGGATATTGCCTTCATAGGAATTTGGGGTATGGCTGATAACTTAGGAGCTGATCAGCATTTTAGTGGCTAATAATAAAGACACAGCCCAATTCTAGAACATTCCTCCTGTTATAGTAGCATTCATTTTGAAATTCAGATTTATGTTTAAGCCCCATAAGGTTTCATCAGACTGAAAGTGGTTAAACAGAGATTGGGTTTAAAATCCTCCAGTACCAGGCTTGTTTTCCTAACCTGCTCTGGGTGCAACCAAACGACTTTCACAACTTACAGAGAGTTCAGTTTTACTTTTTCATTCAAGTTTTCCCATCTCACAGTGGTCCAACTCTGGTACTTGCTCTAACAAGAGAAAATGCTGTAGCGCGCTGGAGAGAGTTATTGGGCCCAAAGTCTGTTGAGCAGGCTATGAAGGAAAACCCAAACAGGTAATACTCACAATAGTAAACCATTGTTCACAGCATACTATTTACTTTCACATTCCTCATCTCAATGAATACCATATTCCAACTGGTGTAACTATAGTGCCATCCTCTGGGAGCTAATATGTATTTCTGCACTTTGTGAAGCTTTTCTTGGAAGAACTGCTGTATTATGCATAGAAACTATAGCATTTTCTGAGCAATAATGGCTGCTAAACATCGTGAAAAGGGTATTGAAGTGAAAGGAGATCTATTGAATCTAGAGTGAGGGGTCCCTGCCCTGGCAGGGGGGTTAGAACTAGATGATTTTAAGGTCCTTTCTCATCCAAACCATTCTATGAATCAGAGAAAAAAATATTGGTAATACCTTGTTATTATTGCTTTTTTTTCCCCTTGAAATAGCACCCTTATTTTTTAGAACAGATGCTTACTTTCTCAGCTTAACAAAAACCTTGCATCAGTACAATTTTTACTTGTGATCAAGTTCCCCATACACATTTTACAAATAGACATCCTAGTTTTACCTGCTAATGGTAACTTTCTCTAAGAAATTACTACTGCATCATCTTACCTGTTGTTGGCAGAAGGGCTGCTTCACCAGGAAAGAGCTGCTTCACCAGGAGAGAGCTGCTATTAGCTTGCAAATATAACAAGATGAGAGTTGGGTGGGGTGGTGTTGATAGATCAGGTGGTTAATTTACAGGCTTGCTCTTTTTGTAGGTAATGGAGGTTGTCTTTACAAAGAGATCATCAAGCACTTATGTCACCACATCAACTTTCATTTATATTCACTGGGTTAAGGCTCATCAAATAGTTAAAGCTCAAAATGGTTATTCCTTTAAGTAACTTTACTCTTTTAATGACTCTTAGTTTACGTGCACAGTATGCTGTCAGCAATGTACCTATTGGTCAGCTGCATGGTAGTTCCACACCTGATGATGCTCAGAAGGAATTGGAATTCTTCTTCCCACAGGAGCACACTTTGGCATTAATCAAACCTGCCGCTGCTGCAAAGCATAAAGGTAAGTCATCTAGAAAGGATGGGCTATGTTTATTGATGTAATTTCCATGAAATATTAGCAGTAATTCATGTCAGATGCATTCTTTTTATTCCCTGGAATATTTTTGCCATGCAGAGAAATGCTTTTACAGGGCTTGCATACTTCATAGTGAGGCCTCAAATGTGATATTCCCTTTGCTTAAGCTCCCTGTAGCCCTTTCTTCATGAGAGTGGTGGTGAACTGAAGTGAGAGAGTGCTCAGCTAAGTTAAACTGTTTAAAAACCAGACACACATGCAAACTAGCTGCCCAGCATCCTTCTATGTCAAAGGAGAGAGGCTTTACAAATCCATGTTACTTATTTCAGACAGGAATCTCTATTGTTCAAAAGGGGTCACTGCTCCATTAGATGCATTCCCATCCCTGTTTTAACTTGCCATTAGACAAAGGGAAGGAGGAGGAAAGGTCAAAGCAAAAAGAACACCTTAAAGGTTTTGCTGCCACTTTTTTTAAGCTCTGCATCCTGGTGTTCTTGTCTGTCAGAGCAAATTCCAGTGCTCTTTCTAATGTTAATCTGTTATTTGCTTTTGTGAGTCTTTCTTACCCTCTTGTAATAACTCTGATTTTAGCAGGCCAGCTGGGGTGTGATAGAGCATTACAACTACAGTCCGTGTTCTGTCCAACATGAGAAGCAATAGTGAATGCTACTGGTATGGTTTATAATAGTGTGGGTTTGTCACCTGCGTTAATGCAGTGACAATGGTTTCTGAACATTTCAGGGGACTGTTGAAGTGTTTGTCATACTGCCCATGATTGTTTGACACTGTAAGGAGAACTTTAATAGCTATTGGTGATTTGTTTCTTTAAAAAAGCACCTAGTATTTTCTGAAGGTTTAGTTTGGGGAATTTTCAGCATCTGAACTTTAAAATGATTTTTGTATCTAAACCATTTCAATGAAGACTTGAGCTTTCTTGTTACCCTCCCAGATGACATCTTGCAAAAAGTGAAAGGTGCTGGATTTACCATCTCAAAGATTAAAGAAGAATCTTTAACTCGTGAGGTGGCTGCACAGTTTTACCAGGATCACAAAGGAAAACCCTTTTTTGAAGACTTATTGTCCTGTATGACTGAGTAAGTGTCTCATTATACAACCTCGAGGTACATAAGTGCACACCAAACTTCACATTTACAGTGCCAACAGAACAGGCTACACCCAAAGTGGGCTGAGGACTTGACACTCTGACACTCTTTCTGTCAAGTTTAGTGGCTGCTGGTATGGAGAGCTCTCCTTTTAAAAGGAAGATTTAAAATTCTTTTAAAACCTATGGACAGTAACTATTATTTTGGGGGTTTTGATTGTTATGCTGTTGGGTTTTTTCCTTTCTCAAGAAAAAAGAACTGATTGCTGATGGGATCCTAGTTCTTCTCATGTAGGACAAATATCTTCCTTATAATATTGTTAGTATAGCTGTTGATAAAACAGTATGCATAGTCTCATTTCAGAAATTATTGGGTAAGAGCCTTTTAGGGCAAAAAGGACAAATCCAAATAGCTGATCATCAGAATAGTTTTTGCTTTCAAATCCAAGATATTGTCTTGAAACACTCTGAAACAAACTTTGAACAGTTTAAAAAATTTAGATAGAATAATGCTTATCATAACCCTTCATGGTACTTCTGAAGTCAAAGCTAAGCCTGCATCTTAGAATAGCGTAAAAGTTTCCTTACATTGATTTTACAGGGGCCCATCAGTGATAATGGTCTTAACAAAGGAAAATGCTGTGGAAGAATGGAGGCATATAATGGGTCCAGTCGATCCAGAAGTGGCTAAAGAGACCTCCCCTGGATCAATTCGAGCTCATTTTGCACAAGATATTTTGTCTAATGCTGTTCATGGATCATCAACTAAGGAACATGCACAGAAAAGCATTGAGTGTGTATTTGGAGAGCTCGATCTAAATTGAGCGATTAAGATGCAGTCGCTGAAAACTGATGCTCAGGTCATTAAATGCATTTGTCTGCCCAACCACCTATATTTAAGTCTGTGTTTTATGTTTTCCTTCATAGTCCATCCATTCTTTTATCAACCACATTTTTATTATCAGCATTGCATATTGCAAAGCATATCAATGTAACGAGTAATACCTGCTACAAGTTTGATGTTAGTAATGATTTCTTTTATGTGTGGTTAGTAAGTAGTTTTTCTTTTATCACTTTAGCAGATTTATGCCTTTCCTATAATTCCAGGAGTGTTCTAAGGTGTTTCGTATACAACTAGCTTAAAAAAACAGGGTCAAAGAAGATCATTAAAACACAATTAATGACATGTCCACTGTGATGCCAGTTGAGTCCTCCAGTTCAGGGAGCCTGCAAAGGAGAAATGGTGCAAGGTAGTCAAGGCACTGCTACAACATTGTCAGGGAGCAGCAGCAAGTGTGAGAGTGCTCCACAAGGGAGAAGGAGCCCAGAGCCAAGCATGACCACAGCACAGGCTGCGCTGAGCAGCCCCGCAGCATCTGAGCAGAGCTGGGTAGCCACATCCATCAGGAATCCCAGACAAAGCAAGTGATGAACCAGGTCCAGGACCCATTGGAAGGTCCAGTCAGGAATAATAGGCAGACAAGTATTCCTGCAACACAGTTCAGGAAGTGATTAAGCCCAAGTGTGAGCTTAAATGTGGCTCCCAGGCACCTTGGCCAATGGTATGGGTGTGCATCCCAGGAGAGGCTGCTTGGGGCTATTAAGACCTATTGGTTCCCTCAGGGCCCTGAAAAACATTTGTGATGTTTGCTCATCCTTTCCCTAAACATCTTCTAACGATTACTGTCACAAGTAGGATAATAAACTAGATGGTCCTTTCCATTTATGCAATTCAAACGTGTCAGATGAAGCAAAATATAAAGTCAGCTGTTACTTAACAGCTATTTTTGACATATACCTCCTTGCCAAACTAGTGAATTTGTATCCTGCCTCAGTCTAACTTGGCTGGCCTTCATAAAGAACACAAATATCCTTCTGTAGCTGATAATTCTCACTTTAGCTGTCTGAGTCTGTGGAAGGTTGACATACTAAAGAATGGTATTCAGTTAAAGCAATTTACTTATAGCATTGGTTCTAAGTGCAGTGTCCAGAGAGAACAAAGTCTTTCTCATCCTTTCTTTATTGTCCCTATTCTATTTAAAACAACTAGCTGCTTTAAAGAGCTTCCTGACAAATATTTCTGTTGTGATGGGGCATTTGTTATTATAGACATTCCTCCAGCAGAAGTTGGACTGAGCATTCTCCTGGTGGCCCATTTTCACCTACAGCTGCTTCACTGCCATAAACTCAACTTGAGGCCCGCTAGCCTGCAGGAAGCTGTGATTAGTGCAGAATTAATGTGTCACCTCAGTGAGGTGAGCTCTTAGAAGCATATTTCAGAATTCCTGTATGTTCTTTGGCTTGGTTTTTTTACTTCAAAAACCCATTAAAGCTGTTCTTCCTGGCATTATTTCTGGGTCTCTTGGGTGCTGGCACATTGTACTTTAAACCAAGAAGCAGCCTTAGAAAAGGCCTGAATAGAGTGACTTCAGATACATCGATTCAGTTCATTTCCCAAGATCTCTGCTAGTGTTAATGGCTTCTCTGCCACTGGGGCAAATACAGCATTCAAAGGTTTAATGCTTTGGTTTAAGCCATGGTTAGACACACCCTGGTCAGATCTGTCGTTATCTCAACCCTTAGGGCCCCACGTTGGGCACCAAAAAAAGCTGTTATGGTTTAAGCCCAGCTGGTAACTCAGAACTACACAGCCGCTTGCTCACACCCCCCATCTTTCCCCCTGTTCCTGGAGGGATGGGGAGGAGAAGGGAAAGAATGTAAACTCCCACAGGTTGAGACAAGAGCAGCCCAGTAACTAAGGTGTAACACAAATCACTGCTGCTGCCACCAATAATAATAATGATAAGGGAAATAACAAGGGGAGAGAACACAACTGCTCACCACCCACCGACCGATACCCAGCCTGACCGAGCAGTGATCTGACCCTTCCAAGTAACCCCCCAGTTTATATAGTGGCCATGACGTGCTGTGGTATGGAATACCTCTTTGGTCAGTTTGGGTCAGGTCCTGTCTCTGCTTCCTCCCGGCTTCCCCTCCTCCCTGGCAGAGCATGAGGCTCACAAAGTCCTTGGTCAGACTAAACATTACTGAGCAGCAACTGAAACCATCGGTGTTATCAGCGCTGTTCCCAGGCTGAAAGTCAAAACCACAGCACTGCACCAGCTACTGAGAAGGAGAAAAATGACTGCTGCTGCTGAACCCAGTACAAAAGGTTACATGGAATCAGTTTTTGACAGGAGCAGAAATGCTGAAAACAGAAAAATGTGTTTATGTATTGCGAACATTTAATTCATTAATGCTTATTTTCTTCTCCTAAATATGTTCTTGATCTGAATGTCTTTTAACAGCTTTGGAAAGGAGGAACTGAAGAGATACATTTCAAAACAATAAAAATAACTGCTTCAGTCAGCTGATGAAGAGATTCATGTTCACAAAGGTTTTGTATCTTTGAGATACAGGCTTTGGTAGAATCATCCAAACAGCAAGCATTCAAAAGCATGGTCATTTTGATAGTCAATAGAGACTACTCTGTCCCTTTAACAGTTTAACTCAACACTCAGGTGTTGTGCACACAGTTTAGTCTGCCATCCACTCTTCTTTATATTCTATATTACTGTGACATAGGCAGAGGTGTAATTTCTAAGAATCTGAGGATTTGTGATGGGATCAGCAAGCATTTGCATTTATAGGCAGGAGGAACGTGTTCCATTGAGCATCACAGATTCAGATCTTCTTGCAGTTCAATTTACACAGCTCCTCTGCCTACATATCTTAGGGAATATCTGACTCTGTCCTTTTACCTCTTATCTAAATGCCAGATTGAAAGTGAACATGTCCTTCACAACCGTTTATTTACAGAATCACAGAATCCCAAGGATTGGAAGGGACTTCAAAAGCTCATCTAGTCCAACCCCCCTGCAAGAGCAGGGTAACCTAGAGTACATCACACAGGAACTTGTAGAGGCAGGCCTTGAATTATCTCCAACGTAGGAGACTCCACAACCCCCCTGGGCAACCTGTTCCAGTGCTCTGTCACTCTCACAGTAAAGAAATTTTTCCTGATGTTCACATGGAACCTCCTATGCCCCAGTTTACATCCATTGCCCCTTGTCCTATCACTGGACATCAATGAAAAAAACCTAGCTCCATCATCCTGACACTAACCCTTTACACATTTGTAAACACTGATGAGGTCACCCCTCAGTCTCCTCTTCTCCAAGCTAAAGAGTCCCAGCTCCCTCAGCCTCTCCTCATAAGGGAGATGTTCCATTCCCTTAATCATCTTCATGGCTCTGCGCTGGACTCTTTCAAGCAATTCCCTGTCCTTCTTGAACTGTGGGGCCCAGAACTGGACACAATATTCCAGGTGCGGCCTCAGCAAGGCAGAGTAGAGGGGGAGGAGAACCTCTCTTGACCTACTAACCACACCTTTTCTAATGCACCCCAGGATGCCATTGGCCTTCTTGGCCACAAGGGCACATTGTTGGCTCATGGTCATCCTCCTATCCACCTGGACCCCCAGGTCCCTTTCCCCTTCACTACTGCCCAGCAGGTCAGCCCCCAACCTGTACTGGTACATGGGGTTGTTCTTCCCCAGATGCAAGACTCTACACTTGCCCTTGCTGCATTTCATCAAGTTTCTCCCCTCCCAACTCTCCAGCCTGTCCAGGTCTCGCTGAATGGCAACACAGCCCTCTGGTGTGTCAGCCACTCCTCCCAGTTCAGTATCCTCAGCAAACTTGCTGAGGGTACATTCAGTTCCCTCATCCAGGTCGTTGATGAAAATATTAAACAGCACTGGACCCAGCACCGACCCCTGAGGGACTCCACTAATCACAGACTTCCAGCTAGATTCTGCCCCATTGACCGCAACTCTCTGCCTTCTTCCTTCCAACCAGTTCTTGATCCACCTCACTACCTGCTCATCCAGCCCACACTTCCTTAGCTTATCCATGAGGATGCTGTGGGAGACAGTATCAAATGCCTTACTGAAATCAAGAAAAAACACCTCTACCGCTCTACCATCATCCATCCACCTAGTTACTTGCTCATAGAAGGCTATAAGGTTGGTCAAACATGACTTCCCCTTGGTAAAACCATGTTGGCTGCTCTTAATGACCCCCTCATCCTTGATATGTCTAGAGATGGTGTCAAGAATAAGTTGTTCCATCACCTTTCCAGGGATGGAGGTAAGGCTGACTGTTCTATAACTACCCAGGTCCTCCTTCTTGCCCTTCTTATAGACTGGCGTGACATTTGCCATCCTCCAATCCTCAGGCACCTCTCCTGTTTCCCATGACTTACCAAAGATGATGGAGAGTGGCTCAGCAATGACCTCCGCCAGCTCCCTCAGCACCCACAGGTGTATTCCATCCGGACCCATCGATTTATAGATGTCCAGATTGCTTAACTGATCCCTAACCCAGTCCTCATCCACCAGAGCAAACTCCTCCTTTATCCTGACTCCTTCTGGGGCTATAGGAATCTGGGTCCCCTGGGGAGAGTCTGCAGGAGTAAAGACAGAGGCAAAGAAGGCATTCAACACCTCTGCCTTCTTTATATCCTCTGTCTCCAGGGCACCCACCTTGTTCAGCAGTGGGCCTATATTGCCTCCTGTGTTAGTTTTATCCACTATGTATTTGAAGAAGCCCTTTCTATTGTCCTTAACCTGACTTGCAAGATTAAGTTCAAAGGAGGCCTTAGCTGTCCTAATTGCCTCCCTATATTCTCTAACAATTGTCCTATATTCCTCCCAACTGGCCAGCCCCTCCTTCCATAATCCATAGATTCTCTTTTTCCGCATGAGTTTGCCCAGCAGTTCCTTGTTTAACCATGCTGGTCTCCTGGCTCCCCTACTTGACTTCCTACCCATTGGGATACTCTGATCGCGAGCTTGGCAGAAGTGGTCCTTGAATGCTGACCAACTATCTTG